CTATCAATCGCTCATTGGTTCGCTATTGTATTTGGCGTTGACAACACGGCCAGATATAATACACTCTGTGGCCAAGCTGGCGCAGGGAAATGCAGATCCGCACAAGGAGCATGAGGTTGCAGCCAAACGGGTATTGAGATATCTAAAAGGTACCTCATATTTGAAACTACACTATAACAAAACGGGTGTGCCTATCCACTGTTATGTTGATGCAGACTGGGCTGGCGACAGCAACGATCGGAAGTCTTTTACGGGTTGGTCATTCTACCTTGCTGGAGCAGCAGTCTCTTGGGAATCAAAGAAGCAGAATTTGGTCGCCCTCAGTAGCACAGAGGCCGAGTATGTGGCACTTTCTACGGCAGCCAAGGAGGCGGTATACGTTAGAAAATTGATCAACGAAATGGAGCTCGGGCCGATGGCAAAGGTGCTGATTTATAGTGATAATCAGAGCGCACAATGCCTTGCTAAAGATGCAAAATTTCATTCGCGTAGCAAGCATATTGAAATAAAATACCATTTTGTAAGGGAAATGTACAAAAATAAAGTAATAGATATAAAGTACATTCCCACAGATGAAATGATATCAGATGTATTGACGAAGAATTTATGTAAAGTCAAACATGAGAAATTTACTGTAATGCTAGGATTAAAATGATACATTTTGTAATCATGATCGCATTGAGGAAGGGTGTTGAAGAATATCATCCGTTACAATGCGATATGATATATCGATAGAAAGTATGGTACATATAAGATGATAAGTACCACCTCTAAGTTTTAAGTCAGTCTCTAATAAACCTCTAAATTGAATACTAAAAAACATTTTATAATATTTATTTTTATTTTAAAACTTAAGCTTGAAAGCTTAAATTTTGAAATAAAAATAAATCTTAGCATATAGGTCTGCTTAATAACGATTCTGAATGTTGAAATGCCACGAATTACGTATATTTGGGAATCGATTTTCTAGTTCTCAGGTTACTCAGGTCCCTCACTTATTATATGAAGTTTGACCAATTTGTATGCTTAATTAATTTTTGATACTCGTGTTGCCTGAACATAGTTTCACTTGTCTTCGAGCTTTGCCAAGTGCAAAAGTGCTGCAAGCTAACATTTGACCAAAAGGAATAAATAATGCAGCAGCCACCATATGTTCCAGACCTCATCCCCAGTAGAAACTGAAGAGCCCCATGAGAGAACAATGATACGCTAGGATTGAGGAAATTAAGATGGCATCGCAGCATCAGCTGAAGAAGATCACAACAAATGATTAACTTAGAAGGATACAATTCATGTATAGCTTCATATATATATTCCTATATATATATTCCCGCTATATTCTTAAGCACACCTCGCCCACAATAATACCACGCATAAACGTAGCTACTAGCTGATTGCCTTAAGTAAAGTTGTGCTGGGGCTGCCTGCTGGCGCAGCTCCATCTACGCCTACTGCCGTAGTCAACGCCCGTGCGACTGTAATGCAAATAGTTAGGCACAGACTGTTTGCCAATCGGGCAAAAGTTGAAACTGGAATTGGGCTTGGGATTGCGATTGGTATAGGCAAGGGCTGCCCGTGCGCTTGCTACTCGCAATATTGCGGTTGCGCTGCCCCACGAAAGCCATGGAAATGACAGACGATGTAAAAGAGTTCATTAATATTGCAAGGTGGACGGGCGACAACAGCTACAGCAACAGCAACAGCAACAGCAACAGCAAGAGCCAACAGCGACAACACAAACACCATGAACAGTGCGGAGCATATTTTGACAGTGCGCACAATTATTTTGTAATTTGTCATATTTTGTGGAAGCGCCACCCCCTTTCGCCTTGCCCCTTTCCCAACAACGTCAGTCGCCTATGTCGCAGTGCCTTTGTCCAAAAAAAAAATTTGTTTTCAAGTAGCAAAGTCTCGGGCTCAAGTGGCCTATGACGGCCTACTAAATAGGAAATGCGGGCTCGTTGGCGCATGGCTAGCAGGAGCGAGGGGGGGAGAGGCAGCTAGGTACCTTGTATCCTACCAACAAGCTGCATAATTGTTTGTATTTTACGCTTTACATGAAAGCTAAGCAAATCTTTTGTTACACTGTCTACAGCAACAAGGCTGCGCCTTCTTTAAAACAAGTCACACACACACGCACACACACACACACACAGACAGAGGCGCATGCATGCTCGCCCGCCACCGCTCATCTAGTAACCCTTCTTGCAGCTTTTGTTGGCCTTACGCTTTGTGTGCATATTCTAAACATGGCAGCGCTTGGCGGCTACCTCAACCTACTTTCGGGGCCAGACTGCGTTGTCGCCGTTGTTAAGAACTACCCAACCCCGCCTGCCCTTCGCCACGCCTACCAAAACGTGCTGCAAGTCAACAGTGAGCCAGGCAGTCAGTCAGGCAGTTTTGTTGTTGTGCATATTTACCTAGCCCGCTCTTCAGCGTCCACATCATTTGCTATATATATATATGTATGTATATATATATGCATATATACTAGAGAGAGGAGAGAGGGCATAATGACTATGTCATGACTTTTGTCAAATATATGTATGACTTGACTATTTTATCAAAAATACATATTTATATCAAGTTTTAAAAATATTATTCAATTTTAAAGTTGAGCTTTAAATGGATTTTGTTAAGCTAAAAATTGAGATTAATTATTTGTTAGGCTTTAAGAGCATTAAGTTCTCGTAGTTGTTCATTTATATATATATATATATATATATATATATATCATTCATCATAATTTTCATATGCAGCAGTTGGACCAGGCCGATCCCTCGCCTCCCGGCCGGCCATAACTCTTGTCCGTTTCTTTTACTCTTGTTTTTTTTTCTATATATATACATACATATATATATCTATACATACATATATATATTTGTATACATATATATATTTCTTTCATATTTTTTTTGTTAAATTACATGCACATATACACAGTCAAATATTTATTTAAAACTTATGCCCGAGGCCTTTCATTACTGTGCACGTAAAAATATATTTACACACACATACATACATACACATATATATTCTGCTCTGCATTCTGTAGTTTTTTTCTTCTTTCTTCATATTTTACTTTTGATATTTTCCCTGGGCAAATGTACAGCATGTTGCTTTGTGCTCGTCTCTTTTGGTGGCAAGCATTCTATGCTATTAAGTAAACTTTACTTCTATATATTTCCAATTTTTTTTATATATTTTATGCTGCTTTCGCTGGAAATCGTGGCTTAGTTTATTTACTTTGCGCCGTGACGCTAAGTTCGTTATTTCCTCATTTCCATATTTTCTAGTGTCTAGTGTCTAGCGCAGCTCTAATTAGTCGTCCTTGCTGCGCGTGTCCTTGTATGCGTCCATTGTGCCAGCTAGCGAGAACAAAGCGCTGTGACGCAGTGAAGCCAGTTCAAAAGTTGTTCAACATTTAATGGGATTTACCCGCCAAATTGTTTTAAATTACATTGCCCCAGAGACTTGAAAAGCATAGCAAAAAAAAATTAAAAAAAAAAAGCTGAAGAAAAGAGGAAATGACAGCTGCTCGAAGTGCAGAGCGAGATACTGCTTAGCATTGAGCTGTTAATTAAAATGATATTGGGCAAACGAATCAATCAAACGTGGCTGTCAACTGGCATTGTTCGACAACGAACGAAAAAGATGGAAAAGAAAAACAATAAAAGGAAATATATGAATAGAAATCGAAATACAGTTGTAAAAGCAAGTCTGCAACTGTGGCAGGGTGAGAGTGTTCTAGGCGGGAGTGCCTGACTAGCAGATACCCTGAACCCTGCACAGCGCTGTTATACCAACCATTCTTAATTTGTTTTCTACACACAGGCACACACTCACACAGCGGCTTTACTATGTTAACTTAATTGTTGAAGAACTTTTGTTTCAGCTAAACTTTCTTCATCACATTTTCAGAGCGTCATAATGACTTCTATTTGAGATGGCGCAAGTCTCTGTCTGGTATTGTGGCTAGAGTAGTTCCGAAATATATCAAATCTCACAGCATCCATGCTGCTAATAAACGAAATGAAACCATCGATACTTATCGATAATAAAGAAATTAACTGCATTATCGAATAAAAACACGCTTAAGTTTTACAGTCTAACTTTCCGCTTTCATACGGAAAGGACAGAGCGACTGAATGAGAGAACTGCTCTAGCCATATCAACTCAGCTAATAGTTCAAATTGTTAATATTTAATGGTTGTGCCACGCCTCGTATTACCTGTTACAAACAGTTCAACAGAAATATCATACACTGAATTCCCATTTCATTTACCCAATGGATTCAAGGTATAAAGCGCAGTCGTGGTAACATAAATAAAAGTCACTGTATTAGCTAATAATTATTTTAAAAATGCATAATATTAGCAAATATGAACCAAATCAATCAATAAACAATAAATATTACTATAATGATTTGAGCTTTTATTTAAAAAATATTTTTTTTTCATAATACTTTAAGTTCATATATTGAAATAAAAGGGCATGATAAAAGAGCGTTATTTTAAAATTTTTAAAAAATATTTACATAAAATTAAGCTGCCAAAAAGTGTACATTTAGTAAATTTTGGACTTTAAGGATTAACAGAAAAAAATTATATATAAGAAATATGTTTCAGATAGACTTAAAATTGTGCTTAATTTCATCTCTTACCAAAATCTCAAACCTCAAAGTCTCATTTCAAGCTGCCATAACCAAGAAGTGTATATCGATTTTAGAGATCATGCAACATATTTTTAAAACTAAGTCTCTAGATAAACTCTTGATGCTACAAATTCAAGTTTTGTTATAAGATATCCCAATTATTGTCGAAAAATACCCCTTGACTTAAGGTTATAATAATTTAAATTTAAAGTTTCAATTTTAATTTGACATTTTTTTAATGTTATCGGTTATCGCTTGCTTATCGATGCGCATAAGCACCAAGTTGAGTAGTTCAATTATCAGCAAATACATTGATGTCTATAGTAATTGTGCACGGCCAACTCACCTGTCGAAATTGCTTGTTTAGATTTATTTAATTTAGTTTGCAGCTTTTACTATGTAAAATTTGAACGCTAATCGAATCAACGAGTTTTGCGCTTGAATTGTAAATTCTTTGGTTTAGATCATTGATTGGTTTTGGTTTGCGTTAATTGGTTTCGTTATTATACCGTTTGATAATTTGGGCGCCAAAGTACAGTCAGAAATCACTCACACGCATATGGTCAGACTGACACGCTCTCCCACTCTCTCCCTCTCACTCACATTCACTCACTCTGCTGTGTCGCTCTCTATGCCTCTGTTGCGCTCACTCTCTCTCTCTCTCTTTCTCTCTCTCTCTGTGGATCTGTGTTTATTATGACGTTTGTTGCGGCACAACGGCGTCTGTCGATTGCCTCTGGGGCAGGTAGTTAATGCAGTTTGTTTGTTTGGCCACGTTTATTAGATTGCAAGCGCCATAGACTGGCCTGGCCATGCACTGATTATAGAAGTGTGTATAGTGTGCGGGTGTTTGTGTGTGTGTGTGTGGGTGAACGCATGTGTGCTTGGCTAAATTAAAATTTTGGCTGTCGGTTTATCGGCTGATTTTCGTTGATTTGTCGTTAAGGTGAAGCGCACACAGGACATACACAACTTGACTGAGCAAAACTGCACAAATAACTGAATTGAAATTTCGTCGCAGCGAGCGCTGTGTAAGGGCAAATCGTAGCAGAGCGCATCTGTGTGGGCGCCAGCGATTGGGGGCGTGGCGTGGGGGGAGGGAGGGTGGATTTCTGCTTTTAGGGGTTCTGCGGCAACAATTTAGCCTATAGCTTATTTTCGGCAGCAACACACGAGCAACGGCAGCGGCAACAACAAGAACGAACACGAAATATCTTACAGCAGCAACTGCACTCGAGTGCATTTTAATTGATTTTTTTTTCGCATGCACTTTCGCCAGCAAGTGCGAGCGAGAGCGCAAGCGTAATCTCTGTGTGTGCCTTGCTCGTTTGTTACACGCGGCGTATGCGTAACATTTACAGTTGCATTTCGCACGCACCTGACTTTGAGTGAGTTTTGCTCGGCTTTACAGCTTGAGTGAGTTTCTCGCTCAGCTGCGATCTCTTCGACGCCCGTTCTAGGTCAATTAATGTTGTCCGTTTCATATTTTTCAAGTTTTAATTACCCTTTTTATTTTTAATTTGAACAGCCCAAGAGAAACGAGCGAAACAACAACAAAAACAACAACAACTTGCTGTGGCAACAAATTTTTAATTAATTACATGCAAAAATCCAAGCCAAAAATGAGTTGGCCACGCTTGAGTGACGAGCTGGTCAAACAATTAGCATTTTATGCCAGTTAAAAAACGTATAATGAAGTTCCTAAAGGATGCGGCTCTGTGTCTCCCTCCCCCTCTCTCCTGGCATATAGAAAAAGTTTTTAATATGTAAAGTGTTTTTCAAGAGGTATGCGTTTGTTTGAAAGGTTAGAGCACAGCCCAGCCCAGAACCACCCAAAGTTGGAGGGAGTAAACAGCCATTTAAACTCAAATTTCCATTCAGATAGATGGGAATCTGTGTCAGCTTTTTGGCAGTTTCCTGTAGATTGTTTTCGAGTCACTCGAAATATAAAGCAAAATTCTCAAGCAGTTGAAATGTCTGCCACAAGCATTCGTACTTAAAGCAATTGACATTTCCATTTCCATTAAACTACTTCATTTATAGGCTGAGGCTTATACTGAGATCTACAGTTTCCATAGACACAAGACTAGCTGAAGGCATCTCTTGTGGTAACTCTGCTTATTTAAATGCGACTTTTTACACGCTCCTCTTCTGTGTTCAGAAGAATAAAAAGAATCGCGTTAAGCCACACATACAAAATCGAACTTTCTCGCTGATTCTTACTAAAACATTCAGTCACTTCTTAACTAAATCTTTGGATCACTCATTAGCTCTCTTTCTCTCTACCTCTTTATCTCTCTCTCTCTCTCTCTCTCTCTTTCTCTTGTTTTTTCCTTATCTCTTTTGTGCTCTGTTTGTCTAGCGCCTTATCTCTTGCTCTCATTTTGCCACTTTCTCTTGTTTTGTTTTATCTCGCTTACTTTATCTTTCTTCGTTTATCTTCCTCTTTCTCTCTATCACTCTCCTAGCTCTTTCACTCTCTTTTTGACTCTCTCTCTCTGCCTTATTTACTTCCTTACTTGTGCTCTCCCTCGCTTTTAGTGTCATTTTCGCTTTCCTATCTTCACCTTTATATACCTCTCTAAGCTTTCTCTGCTGTCCTCTCTCTCTCTCTCTCTCTCTCTTGTTCAGTCTCGCTTGATTCCTCTGTCTCCCTTTCTCCTTGCTTTCTCTTCTTTTCTCTCTTTTCACTGTTTTTTTCACCCTATTGCTTGCTCCCTCTGGCTCTATAGTTCTTCATCTCTTTCCATCTCTCTCTTGATCACTCAATTGTGTTCTCATTCGCTCTTGCCCTCTCTCACCCAACCCTTATTCTCTTCCTATTTTATTATGCCTCTGTTTCTGAGACTGAGAGAGAGAGAGAGACCGAGAGAGCAAGTGAGAGAAATAGATAGACAAAAGATAAGAGACAAAAACACAGCGAGATATAGCTTTGTCTCTTATCTTTTGTCTATCTATTGCTCTCACTTGCTCTCTCACTCTCTCTCTCTCTTACTTTCTCTCTCTCTCTCTCGCTGCCTGACTTAATCTCCCCATAACTTTCTTTCTAACCCTGTGTTCTGTGTCTCTGTCTTTGCCTCTATCTTCGACGCTCTCTTTCCTCTTCTCTCTCTTTTCTCTCTGCTAATACATTAGGTAATCACACATCAAAGCAATGCTACTAATGAACGATCTGCATTTCTTCCATATTCCTAACATATGTGATACGCTCTTATTTCTTAATTTTTTGTAATATTGCCAGCTAGTTTGCTTTACGTCAATAAAGTGGCATTTGACAAACATTAAAACTAAACAGCAAAAGAACTTGGCTATAACTAAAATGCAGTAAATAAAATATTAGACCATACAGGGTGCCTGGGCAGCAGGAACAACATTTGTGTTGAGACATGCGCAAAGCAACAGCCGAAAGCAACTCAAATGGCAACTCACTCACAGCTCACAACATGCAATAAAACACCTGAAGCCAAGCAATGCAATCGCAGACAGGCAGCCAGCAAAGGGAATGTAAGGGTGAAAGAAGAAGAGAAAAACAAACGTCAGCTGCATACAATACAACCCAAGGCACAAAATGGCATTGGACCAAAATGCTAACGAACAGCAACAGCAACAGCAACAGCAACAGCAACAACAGCGACAGCAACAGCAACAAAAATAGCTAAGGGTAAAGGCACAAAATTGGAGCTATGACATTTGCTGCTATTGTTGGCCAGTGTAATAACACACTCCTACATACGAGCCGCATTTAAAAATTTATAACTTTCCTAGCTGCCATTTGCTAACGATGAGTTTAGGGTTTTATTTTTAGCCAGTATTCAAGGATAAGAGTTGAGCTTAAAAATAAATTATTAGAATATTACCTAAGAGATCTGGGCTAGAAAATGTAGGAAGATTGAGATAGCTAACTATTAAGTCGCTTTTCGAACAGCTTATGGGAAAAGTTTTAATGTATATTTTTCCATAATATTCAAGCCAATGGAAGCTCGTTAAATTGTTGGCAATTTAGGCTAACTGGCTGTCCAAATTGGCATTGTAATAGTTGGGTAATAACAAGGCCAGCCATATTAAATGGTTAAATAATAGCCTCTGCACTTAATTCTATGGAATTCTGTAAAATCGTAACTTTAACGAAATCAAATCACTTTGAACTAAAATTTCGATTTGTTGCTCCTTATGCCTTCGTCTATAATTATATTTTCATTATGAAAATTATGTAATTAATTTGATGACTCCAGCTCGGCGAGTCAACAATAATTATTTGTGAGGCAATCGAACCCCGACTTCGAACCGAAAATCCTTCACAATGAACTTGAATTGCATTGAAAAGCCCGAGAAAATTGTTTTGATAATTATATATTTACATATATCTGATCATAGTTGGGTATGGCAATAATTGGCTCGCAGCTGAGCTCATTTGAAGGGCGTTGATGAGCATTGACCATTCGAACCATTGAACCTCAAAGAGCCGACACCAGTCGAAACCAAACAACAACTGCAAATCACCTGAATTTATATTTTTAATACCTGCACATCAAATTTTAAGGTTAATGACTGTGTTTATGGAAACAGACGTAGACTTTGGTGAATCCCTGACAAAAAAAAGCTTTTTTAATGCGTATAGTAAACGAAATAGTTCTGACTCATATGCTCACATATGCCTATTTAAGTAAAATACCTTGTAATATAATACAGACCAATGGGTTGTTTCTGTGTTTTGCTATCATAAGGTAAACAAAACTGTTTTAAATCAAATCAAATACCCTGTAAGCATGTGGCATATTACAAAATGTAGAATATTCAAATATATAAATATTATATATATTTATATATATATTATTTTTCCAATTTGTAAAGCCAACACGCCAAGTAATCTGTTATAAAATTTCTAAAGTATAAACTCTTTTCTTTATTATTAATTTTTTTCATTATTTTACATAGGGAATCTGGTTTTTATCAAACATTATTCTCATAGTTTTTCATTTGTACAATTTTAATTTTGTTTTTTTTTTTCCTGTTCTGGCTACTAAATTATAATAATCCCATGGAAATGTAATCAAGGTGTTTACATGTGTAAAAATTACGCATACGCAATGGTGGACACGCTCCAATGAGCAAACAATATGCAAGGCGAGACCACAACGATGATGAGCAATTGATGCGCTATGGTGAACGATTAGACGACATTTAAAATCGTTTTATAGTCTTAATTATGTTTATTATACACGCATGGCGTATATAAAAGAGCCAACGCTGTGGATTTTCGCAAACAGTATTCACGAGAATTTCAACGGGATTTAGCACGAGAAATACCTTTGGAAATATGTCATATAAACAAATAGGCACTAGTCGCAGTTTTTGGCTATACGTGGCTTTGGTCGCTGCGCTGTTGCAGTGCCAACTGGTTAGCTCTCAATATAGTGGATTTCCGTACTATGGCGGAGGCGCTACGGCAGGTGCTGGATATGGTGGTATGTATGGCAATGGCTATGGTTATGGATATGGCTATCCCCCGTACTATTCGTATCCCGGCTATGGATACACATATCCTGGCTACGGTTATGGAGGTGCAACCGGAGGTGCAGGCGGAGCATATGGTTATCCAAGCTATGGCTATCCAAGCTATAGCTATGGCGGCTATCCTTATACAGGCACGAGTAAGTAGAGCTCATCTGAACGAATCATCGTATACATTATATACATGTATTAGTGTTTTGGACTTGTTTTCTGTTATAGACACAGCATTTGCGAGCAGCAGTGGAGGTTTCGCCAGCGCAAGTGCGGGCGCCGGAGGTGGCTATTATGGTTAAAAAGGCACTGAACAAATATTTAAGCTAATTAGTCACAATGTGTACATATTGAATAAGTATCGTACTTTAGTTGATTGTGTTGTAGTAGTAAATTCATGATTTTATAAAAAACCAACAAAACCATAACGAACCTACCGTCTCTATATTATTGAATTAATTTGTTGAAACCAAATATTATCTAAAATTCATTGAAACACCTGCAAAAGCTACCATTTAAACTTACCATATTTGGCCGCCAAAAAAGAAAACCGATAACAAATGACAGTGCTGCACAATGCTCGACTATCGGATATCGTATAGGCAGCGACTTATCGGAAGCTTTTTAATTCTTGTCATTAATTAAACAATGTAGTCAATATTCAATTACGAAACTATCGATAAGAATCAGCTGTGCAGAGATATTAAAATTTAAAAAGCACATACACACACAAACACACAGTTCTAACGGATAGATACATAGGTAGTCTCATAAAGGCCAAACAAATACAAAGACTTCGTGTGCCTTTTGTTCACTACGTTCGCGAAAGCCCACAAAGTAAGCGATTATTATTAGTCGTAAATTGTGAACTATACTATTAAAATAAGATAAAATCATTGAAAAACTAAAATGTCAGTGCCAAATAATATTGAGTTCATTCGCAAAAAAAAGTGAATGTACGAAATCATAACATTGCGTAATGGAGGCACATGCAACAAAACAAATGCATTTGAATTATTGTAGTATAAGCGTGCATGTGTGAGTGTGCGTGTTGTCTACTGTGACTGTATGTATATCTAGGTTGCATCTGAGTGTCGTTACAGTTGTGCGCATGTTTTACTTGGCCTCAAAAACTCGTGACCAATTGTGACAGTACATACATACAGGTATATATATAAATATATATTTATATATATATATGTGTGCATATGTATGCATGCAATTAAGTTGCCGCCAGCTTCTTGGTAAAAATCAATTAGCCTCAAATTCGTTAAGAATATATGCATACAAACATACCTAAGCATGTAAGCCAACAGAAATATTTAGAAGCGCTGTCTTCATATTTTTATAGACAATACCGGGGGTGACTTTTATAAGCTCTCTCGCTCTCCCGCTCCATCTCTGCTTTCAACCATGTTCGTTTTATCCTCGGTGAATTGGACTAAAAGACAACAACAAAAACTATTGACGTATTGCGCTCTCCAACCCTCTTCTAGTATACAAGTTTTGGCAATCGGAAATTTCCACAGCCGAAGAACTGAAAAAACAGCTGATGTTTGTCAAAAATTGCCGCTACATTTGCATGTGTGTGCATATACGTATGGATATGCGCACGAGTGTGAGTGGCTATGTTTGTGCGCATTAAAAAAAGCTTCGTAATATACTCTCGAACGTTTACACAATACTTGCCCAGTTGGCATTTGCTGTGCACGAGACTTTTAGTCGTATATAAATTGAAATTGTGTTTTTTTTTATTTTATTATCTGTAAGATTTTACGAGGGTGTGTCTCACGTTTGGCTGCTTATCAAGTGAACTCACGTTCCGTATCGCCGGCTGCCGCCAATGTTAGACCCCCAATGAACGTCCAAGGTTGCTGATAAACACCGCCGCTGTTCTGTTCTATAAATGGCATTAATAAAAAACTGTGTTTGTGTGCGTTTTTCTCGTTATCTCACAGGGCAACGAAATTCAAGTATTTACATAACAAGACGAGATTGGCTCCACGCTCACCTGAACCATTCCCAGCTTCACGATGTTGCGATCAATGCGTAATCAGTTTGTCAGCTCCGTTCGGCCACAGAACGCACTTCAAAGGTATTCATGAAATCATATTAATTAGCCTTCTTAATACTTATCTTCAAGTTTGGCAACAGCTATGCGCGCGCAATTGGCAGTGTGGTCATGCAACCAAAGTTGAAGGATTTCAACATTATCAATGAGCCAATACTGGCCTATAGGAAGGGCTCGGAGGAGCGCAAGGCTTTGCAACAGGCATTGAAGACCACGGCGTCAACGTGTACTGAGGTGCCTATTGTTATTGGCGGTAAGGAATACAAGACGGACAAGATGATGTTTCAGGTAATGCCGCACGACCACGGTCACAAGTTGGCTGCTTTCTACTATGCCGATAAGAAACTGTTGGAGCTGGCAATCAAAACGGCTGTGGAAACACAGGTCAAATGGGATCGGATTCCACTAGTCGATCGCTTAGCTATTTGGGAACGTGCTGCTGACTTGATGGCTGGAAAATATCGTCAGGAGTTGAATGCAGCAACTATGTTGGGACAAGCCAAGACGATCATACAAGCCGAAATCGATGCAGCAGCTGAGCTTATCGATTTTATACGGTAAGCATATCGATTATATGCCATACATAAAGAATGAACGCTCATCGTTTTCTAATTGATAGCATTCACGCCTATTTCCTCAAGGAGTGCGTCAAGTATATGCCCATCAGCGAGAACACAAAGGTTACAAAGAACTCTATGCGTTATCGTGGCATTGATGGCTTTATCGCCGCCGTCAGTCCATTCAACTTCACTGCCATTGGTGGCAATTTAGCCTACACGCCCGCACTGATGGTATACAGTTGTAATATAGCTTCGACGTCTCATGTAACATTCTATTTTTGTTTACTCTAGGGCAACGCTGTGTTGTGGAAGCCTTCAGACACGGCCCTGCTATCCAATTGGCGCATTTTCAACATCATGCGCGAGGCTGGCGTACCCGATGGGGTTGTCAACTTTGTGCCGGCGGATGGGCCGGTGTTCGGGGACACGATTACCGCCTCACCCCACTTGGCGGGCATCAACTTCACCGGTTCGGTGCCGTAAGTTCTTTTTTATTTGTATTTTTTGTGTACTCTTCATTTATTGATTTTCATAATTGTATCCGCTTCAATGTGCAGCACATTCCAGCGGCTGTGGAAGCAGGTGGGCAACAATATTGATAAATATATTAACTTTCCGCGCCTTATTGGCGAATGTGGTGGCAAAAATTTCCACTTTGTGCACGAATCAGCGGATGTTGAAACAGTAGTCACATCCACAATACGTTCAGCCTTCGAGTACAGCGGTCAAAAGTGCTCTGCCTGCTCTCGCATGTATGTGCCAGAGTCGTTATGGCCGAAGGTAAGCATTTCCGTAGAGCTTTTTTGATTGTTGTATATAACATTGCTTTGGATCTATACAGATCAAAGAGGGACTAGTCCGCGAAGTAAAGAAACTGAAAATCGATGACGTGCAGGACGTAGCCACGTTCACATCTGCTGTCATCGATGACAAAGCATTTAAACGCATTACAGGCTATATTGAACATGCCAGAAAGAGCCCTAATCTAGAGATCCTGGCAGGCGGTACCTATAGCGATAGCAAGGGTTACTTTATCAATCCAACAATAGTACAAACCACAGATGCCAAGGATCCAATTATGACTGAGGAGATCTTTGGACCCGTGGTTACCATTTATGTATATAAAAACGCTGATTTGACGAATGCTATGAAACTGGTGCATACCTCAACAGCTTTTGCGCTAACAGGCGCCGTGTTCGGACAGGATGAGTAAGTGCTAAAGCTGAGCAGCCAATTGAACTATTCCTCATTCATATGTAACTGAAATTCTGTTTTGCAGGGACTTTATCAACTGTGCCTTGCAGGAATTTAAAATGGCTGCGGGCAACTTCTATATCAATGATAAGTCCACTGGCTCTGTGGTGGGTCAACAACCATTTGGCGGTGGCCGCATGTCTGGCACTAATGACAAAGCTGGTGGACCACATTATATACTACGCTGGACATCACCTCAATCCATCAAAGAAACGTTTGTGCCGCTGCGCGACATAAACTATCCCTACATGAGCGAATAAGGGACAAGGAAGCAAATTAAAAAACGACAGGAATCTCATTTAAAACACTAACTCATATATATATATTTATATATATATAAACATATAAAAGGGGAATGTATATGTATTTTGTTGAACTATTTTTAACATACGCACCTTCCTAGTTAACCGCTACATTTGTATGTAGTTCAATGTTATATCAAATCTGCTGTATTTTAATCGCCTCGAACAACCAACCAAATGCCGAAAGAAGTTGTAAATTGATATGCTGATTACCATAATAAAGTCTCACACATACACTAACATGTAATGTAACTCGAATTATAAAATACGTTTTAAATTATAAAGTAAATTTTTAAACCAATTGTGATCATTTAATTATAAATATGATTTCGAATTATTTGATTTTACTCTGCTTTGTCGTCACAGCCAACGCAATAAATTTAAATGTAGTTACTATTGCTATATAACTGTATAAAACATATATATACAAATTAATGTATATATATATATAAATATATACATCAAGGTACGCATACACTATACACAAACTATTTGACAATACAAATTAAATACCAAATGTGAAGAATTTGAATATAAAAAGACGAAGCGAAGTTACATAAACAACAAATTGAAATTCACTTAAATAAAAATATAGAAATTCTAAATTGAAATTCTCTCGTATGCTTGCAATGCTCTAGGGTGAGTATTACTATTTTTAATATAATAATTATATTTAAATGTGTAGCTCTATAACACCTCAGCTTAGATCTTGGCACTCTATATGATATAGACACCAGAGTCCAGATTGAGTCAATTTCTGATATGATACTCGGAGCTGGCTAAGTCGTATTTGTGTGCTACCCTGTCAGATTTTAGAATGGAATCCTTTTAGTATAATCTAAGTATTCATACATTTCGTACGATTTTATTTTTTTTTACAATCATTTTATTTAATGGCTCCTACACGTGGTGCACGCTCCTTTATGCGTGCATGTAACAAGTCTGCCGGAACCCAAACAGAAACTTGGCGCGACCTGTTCGAATTGTTATATTGCGACGATGACATGGACAATAGCATAGGGATTGAAGCTGCTGAGTATATCAATCCCGGCATCTATGACGTGAGTAATTTTATTTATATACCTCCAGTTCAAAAATATATTTATTTTACATTATAGGTGTCTCCTTATCTATCTCAAGATAGTGATTTTAACCATGTCAAAAGTGCAAAACACACATTGTATCGACCGATTCGCATGACCCCAGAGCCTAGATCAAAAATTCTGCAGTACTTTTCTATATTTATATCTCTTATCATACTCACTCTGTTCATCTGTTGGCTATTAGACATTTAGCATGTAGCGTAGTGTTTTTCATACGTTTATTACACATAATTCACGTGTTCACTGATAACTAAATTGTTTGTTAGTTAATTGTTATTTTTAGCTGCTATACAAATATAAGTTTAATGCAACGAGGCGTAACTTAGTTTTAATTTAAGTTCATTGTAGTTCTTCTATGCACGAACGTTCAGTAAACCAGTGAAAATTGATTGAATTCACAAAGTAAAACAAAGGTTTTGCTTTACAAATTCAAGTGAAACATAAAACAGTTTTTATATATTTTAAATGGACTTGCTGAACGTCGGTTCATAGATCAATAGTCAAGTGTATATACTAACGAAAATAAACATATTTAAAACTTGACAATTTATGTAATTATAATTGAAGTTCTGCTTGGGTTGGGTTGGGTTGGTTTTGGGTTTTTACAAACTAAATGTTTAAGGTATATAAAGTATATTTGTATTAAAATATTTATATATGTTATATGGTAACATAAATCTATCCAAATTTTATTGAATTGACGCCCGTGTCAATCTGACCGCCCCGATAGCTGCCGCGCTTCTTTTTGGTCTTCTCGTGCTTGAAGGATTTGCCGCGCGTGAATTTTAGATCCAGATTGGCGCGCTCTCCCCAAGAGCCGGCAGCGTTTTTCTATATTTTTTTTATAAATTTTATATAATAAGTATATAAAAATGTTTATTACAATATATTGTATACAACATATATTATGCTTTGCGAGTGCGCGTGTGTGTGTCTACTCCATTAATAAAAAATACCTAGAAATCATTGAAATATTGTCGAAAAATGATGGAACGATATTCCATGCTATTTCTGTTTGTGTCAAAAAAGTTATTTCATTATGGGTTCGATTCCCTGGCGTCGTGTGTTGGCATGTGTCTAAACTACACTAAGATATTAATTATCGAAAGTTATTTTCTTATTTTGTTTCGGCGCTGAATCAAACGATTTGTTGCCAAATCCGCCGCCGCCACGTCCCCCACCACCGCGTCCAAATCCGCCGCGACCGCCACGATCGCCGCCACCGCCACGGCCGAAGCCACCGCGACCGCCACGATCACCCCCGCCTCCCCTACCGCGGCCACCGCGATCGCCGCCGCGACCACCGCCACGTCCACCACCCCCGCGTCCACCAAACGAGTTCCGCTCAAAGCCGCCAAAGCTCTTGCGATCACCGCCGCCGCCGCCGCCTTCCTCGCCATTTTGATTATTGCTCTCCCATTTACTACGATCCGGACGGCCGCCAAAGCCAGAGCCTCCGCGTCCGCGTGGTCCATTATTAAACTTCTTGAAGCCACCGACATCCTAGAATAAAGCAACGCAAAATGGTTAAACACAAATTAGCCAAGCTCTTGGAAATGGCAAAAACATATTTCAATAAGGAATTGGCGAATGCCACAAATGATTTGAGATTTTGAAGGGCGCTTTTGCTAATTTGTGTGTAACCCCTCTGCTGTCGCTGCTCCATGGTAGCCCAACCAAGAATCTATCAAAATATTAGCATGTCTCCCCCCACACACACACGCGCGCCACACTCAAATGCATTTGTGGCACTCACCTTTGCCTCAAAGGACATATCCTGAACACGCGAATCTATGATCACCTCCTCGGTGCGGACACGTCGGAAAGGTGACCTTCGACGTTTGCCACTGCTGTTGTTCAACTGTGTGTTGCTGTTATAGTTATTGTTGGGCGTGGAGGTGAAGCCATTATTCTGCTGCTGTGTTAGTTAAAGGAGTTTATTAAAATAATAAATACGCATAGGTAAACATTTCCTGTTGGCATTTGGGAGTATAAACTGTAGTTCAATGGAACTGGATTTCTATGAGAAATTGAAACTGTTTAGTGATTATTTGAAGACTTCTTCAAGCTACAGTACAACATTCTATACGAGTAAGCAAAGATGCTTCTAAAATGGTCAATATTCTATATAAAATTAATTCGGCAATAGGGGCTTGAATATTTTCTGATGTTCTTGCCATCCCCTCTTAGTGCCCAAGTTTATAAATATTGCTGAATAACTCACCTGTTGTTCGCCCGATTTGACGAAATTACTGTACTTCTTGTTAGGTGTCGCTTCCTCTGTATCGCCGCCGCTGAACTTGCGCTTATTGCCAGCCCCATTGGCCACCGGTTGTTGTGGCTTAGTTGGCTTCACCTCGCCAGATTCTTCACTACTGTCGCTATCGCTATCGCTGCTCTCTTGCTTTTTGGCTGGCGCAGGTTTTTTCTTAGCTGGCGGCTCGTCATCATCGGACGAGGAGCTGTCGGAGCTGTCATTCTTTTTAGCCGCAGGTTTGGCAGCAGGCTTAGCTGCTGGCTTGGCCGCCGTCTCCTCATCGGAATCATCATCCGATGATGATTCTGCTTTCTTGGCTGGTGGAGCGCCCTTCTTGACAGTTGGTTTCACTGCAACACTTTCCTCTTCAGAGCTGCTGTCCTCGGATGAGTCCTCAGACTCTGCCTTGGCAGCTGGTTTCTTAGCCGGCGCCACTGCAGGTTTCGCGGCTACTTTTTTGGTTGGTTTCTCTTCCTCCTCTGATGAGGAGTCAGAACTGGACTCTGCTGCTTTTTTGGCCGGCGCGGGCTTAACAGGTGTTGCTTTCTTAGGCGGCTCCTCATCAGACGAATCCTCGCTGCTGGAGGCAGCTGCTTTCTTGGCCGGGGTTGCCTTTGCTGCTGGCTTGGCAGCTACTTTTTTCTGCTCTCCTTCCGAGTCGCTGCTTTCGCTACTGCTGGACGCTGCCTTTTTAGCGGCTGGCTTCGCAGGTGTAGCTGGCGCCTTTTTCTGAACTTCCTCTTCACTTGAGCTATCTTCCTCGCTACTCGATTTAGCTGCCTTTTTGGGTGCAGGCTTTGCAGCTGGCTTTACGGTCTTAGCTGGCTCCTCGTCGGACGAATCTTCACTGCTCGAAGATGATGCATTCTTTTTGGCTGGAGCTGCCTTCGCTGCCGATTTGGGCGCAGCAGCCACTGGCTTCTTCTGTTTATCGTCTTCATCCGAATCAGAGTCACTGCCCTCGCTGCTGGTATATGTAGGTTTGGGCGCTGCGGCCTCCACAGCCGCTTGCTTAGCTGGGGCTGACTTTTTAGGTGGCTCTTCATCGGAGCTGTCCTCGCTAGAAGATTCATCCACTTTTTTTGCTGGCGCTGCCTTCACTGGTGACTTCTTAGCAGGCTTCTCTTCCTCCGAATCATCTTCATTGCTCGAAGATGATGCATTTTTATCAGAATTTCCATTTGTGTTGCCATTTGTTGTTGGTTTCTTCACCTCATCATCATCCTCATCACTATCGCTGTCATCGCTATCTGATTTTGATTTTTTCACAGGAGGTATCTTTTGTGACGTTTTGCTTTGATAAAAAGCCAAGATTTCTGTCAACTTAGGCGTATTCTTGCCTACAGTGGGCTATAAATGCACAAAAGAAAAGCATTAGACAAATCTGGTTGGGTTAGGGGAGCACGTGTTTTCAGCATGGCGGTCTCAAAACATGTTGAAAGGTGGCATATGCTGCCTCAGTAGGAATTTACAATTTATCGATTATATATATCTGACATTTGCCGACGACGCCGAATCGTGCGCAAATGCATACAAATGCATTAAAAAAAAAAAAAACAAATAAATAAAAAGCCGGAAGAACTTACCACTTTTGCTTTCTGCTCAAACACCTTTGCTAGGTTTTTGTCTTTAGTCTTCAGATACTCATGCACAATGGCATCCGTCAATTTCTGTAGTTCAGCCATTTAAGTGACTATTTCAATATTCCTTTTTATTCCTCACAAAAATCAAGCAACGACTTACTCGTTGCAGTCACAATAAAAGGCATGAAAATGGACAACGCACACACACGTGTTGTTTCGATATATTTTAAATGCTCGATAAGTTCTCTGTCATGCGACTTTTAGTTGCACAGCACTTGCAAAATAGTGCGGTTAAAAGCACCATTCAGAACTAGCATTGTCTGTTCTAATTTATTTGGAAGAAAATACAGCATACTTCATTTATTATGTGTATACTTTATATTTTAATTTATTCAACGAATAATTTGTAACTTTCCCAAGCATTTGTGTACATTATAATTCATAAAAATATAATAAAGGCTAACTCCCACTTCATAGCTCAAAACCAGTTCGATTAAAGTCGCTCCGAACGAATCTTCACAGCTCTATTTTTCAACACTGCTTAAAAACAGCTGTTGTACATTTTGTTTGTTATGAAGCGAATTTTTATAAGCTTTATTTTGCCTTAATTAGATCACATAGGCAAATATCACACTTATTTAAATAGTAAGCTGTTGAAGCGAAAAGTGTATTAGGGTATGTGTCAATATTTATATGATGTTGGAAGTATACTAAATTCAAAATTTGCAGTCATGGCCGATGAGCCGTCAGATGCGCTTGGCACGCCCCCGACGTCAAGCGAACAAACGTCATATATATTAAAACTGAACAATGATTGCCTAGAGTGTATATTCGAGAGACTTCAAGATCTTCGCAGTGAAGTAGCCTTCGCCAGAGTTTGCCAACGCTTTCAATGGGTATGTCTGAATCGATGGCGCGGCTCTCATACCTACGATCAACTAGATATGGAGAAATGGCGCGAATTACTGCCAAATTATGAGGACCTTTGCTATTTTATAAAACAAATGCGTCCCTTTATACGACACATGACTGTGTCGAGTTGTTTGTGCACATTACTGAAAGACCTGGACGAAATGCAAATTTACGTGCTGCCCAATGTAACCAGCTTCTATTATGATCCCGAAGATGTGGATTGCTATCCATCAGATCGTAGCATATGCAAAATGGCAAAAATGATGCCGAATCTGTTACGACTTCGCCTAACCACGCCAATACAGGGGCGTTACCTATCCAACTTTCGGCATCTGCAGGAGTTACACTTGTACGAAGATCAGCATAAAGCATATGAACTGCAGCAGGAATATCTAGATGAGATCTGCAGGTATGTGAAAGTATTATAGATATATATAATATAATATATCAATATAAAAAATTATTTATTTTATATATACAGTCAGTTGACTAATTTACAAGTGCTGGACATTCGGATGTACGATGTTATAAGCAAACTGCGGCTCAATAATTGCGTCGCCTACCTCCAGAATCTCACCATCTTGAAGCTCAACTTGGCTACCTTGAAAACAGTCATCACCGAAGTGCTAAAGCTGCCATCACTTAAGGAACTGATTGTACTGCTCGACACCGAGTTTTGCATACCACCATTAGCAAGTGTGGATAGCTACGACCATAAAATACGAGAAGTGCAAGAATTCTATGAAATAATGGAACGCAAGGCACCAGATATTATAGGTGTCGCCGTTGACGGTTATTATATGCCTTTGGAACCTGGCTGGGACGCGGATTTGTCCATTTGGTCTCATCAAAAGCTCCAGCGATTAGCAATTTGCAGCTGGACACATGCCGTGGACTTTCTGGAACGCTATACCTGCATGACAAATCTTCAATTGCTGTGCCTGCGCAATTGGACATATCTGTGCGATGACATTCTGCTCAAATTCGTTGAGTTGTGTCCACACCTTCATCATCTTGATGTGTCCTATTGTCGTGAACTGACGCCCAATTTTCTACAACGTGCGCTCAACATTTTAAAGAAGCGCGAGCCAAACAAACAAAATAATAGATATTTGCGTACTCGACCACTGCTAATATATTATGTTTTATGCGGCTTTGAGGATTATGTTGATGTCAAAGTGAGTAGCTTACCGAATATAAATTTAACTTTATTCACAAATCACTTTAATTACAGGATCTTAAACATTCTCCAGACTACAAGGAGTACATTTCGTTCATGGACGCCTTTCCTGTTAGCTCTGAACGAGGCCTGAGTTTCGTAGATCGCGGCTATCAATTTGATTTTGAGTAATATATTGGGAATACAATTTTCTCTTGTACATAAAAAAACAGATCATCAGTTTATTGTAAATCCTCTAGGATCGTGACATTATTTATTGTAAATGTATGTTCTTTTATGTTAAGTGACCGACAAACTTCGAACCAATTGCAGACACTATTAATTATGTACATAAATGTATATGTACAACTTATAAAAGTTCACTTGGAACATTTTCTGATGTATAGTTTTTTTTTTTTTTTTTAATTTTTTGATCATAATAAAAATGAAAAATCAACAGTTGGCTTTTTGTCTGTGATACAAGCATTTCTACAGATACAAGTTGACTTCACGTATTCGAAATGTTAAGTTATCAAATCCATGCTTATCGATAAGCAAACGAATACAGCTCTGCACAATACTTCAAATATTTCTGACAGTTATCGTTTTGAAAGAAATTATCAAACTTAAATTATGAACGAGAAACATTTTAAGAATCCGCCAGGGAGCATACGTCCCACGACCACCACCAGTGTCTTAAAATTTATCAATTCGGAGCTGAACACCCCACAAGTAAGAAAAAAATTCAGATTTGCGCTTAAATTAAAATGAAATACTGTCTTGCAGAACAAAGTCTTACTAGGCCTGGGAATTGCTACAATTGTCGGCATTATTGGTTATTCAACTTATGTGCGTCACAAATATGAGCAACTAGGTTATTATGTGGCTCTAAAGGAAGATGGCCGCACAGAGTTCATAAAAAAAACCTCGAATTGGGAAAAATAATTTACTGTAAAGTGTAAAATTATATTCGTTAAAATTTAGAATAACCTTAAAAAATATACTTTTGATGCACTTTTAATAAGATTACTATAATCAAGTTCGTGTTTTTAATCGGGTTAGTTCGTTTGACGATTATATATTCACAATTTGTTTTATAGTTTTTTATCATGCATTTTTAAATTCGTCCTGTTCTGCAAATGAATTCAAATAGTAAGTCACCATATTAGCGATGATTCAATATTAATCGTTTGTGTTGCAACTCGATGGTGTCTATCGATAGTCATCACACTAGTATTCTCTTGTTTACTAGAATTGTGCAATGTGCTCTAAGATTGTGGACAATATTACTGATCTTTAAAGGACAATGAGTGAAAAAGAAACAAAGTCGCCCGGTGAGGGTATACGCTCCATTCGCAGCACTGGCGTCTTTAGACTAATTAACTTTGAACTTTATGCGAAACCGGTATGCACATCATTTAGTGTTTACAATGAGCACCGAAAGAATATTTTCTTTTCAGAATAAAATCATAATGGGCATTGGACTGACTGCAATAGTAGGTGTATTTGGCTATATAGCTTATATGCGACACAAGTACGAGAACCTTGGATACTATGTGGCCGTTAAGGAAGACGGACGAGAAGAGTTCATTAAAAAGAAATCCAATTGGGAAACTTAACTGTTTGTTTTTTCTGTCGATGTGGAAACTATTTATTACTGTGTAGCACAATTTGGTACATACATGAGTTAATTGCTATTGTAGTGGTTGCCAAAATATATATTCAAAAATCACAATAGTAGAAAAATGTTTTTAAGTTTTTTTTTTGTGTTTAAACTTTGAAAAATTTGCGCACGTAAAGAAAACAGCACTAACATTTCATTTTTAAATCAAATACAGGAAGCTCGAAAGTACATAATAGGGGGGCCCTGAAAAAACCAAAACGTGACTGTTCCGCATCTATCCTGCTTGTTGGTGCAGTCAATTTCTTCAATCTCTTATTATTTTTGTTTGTTTTGTATTTTGTTGGCGTTGGTGTTGTTGTTGTATCACACATTTAACAGTTGATGGCATGTAATTAGACGGACAATTTGAGCGCTTTGAGCTCCTCCAAATACCTTGCCTCCATTTTAATTTTGTTTAACTGATTCAATTCCAGAGTTTCGCCCTGACTTTGTCGCGACTTGAGCTTCTTAATGCCCGATAACTTTTTGGCCACACTACGTATCTTGCGATCCTTGTCGCTATTGTTGTTATTGTTGGCATTATTGTTCTGCGGAACATTTCCATTTGCATGATGATGACGTGGTGTGCCCAGCTCAACAGAGTTTTGTTGCTCATGCTGTTGATGTTGATGCTGCTGCTGTTGCTGTTGCTGTTGGTATTGCTGATGCTGCCTGGGCAGAGGACGCTGCTTCTGCTGCGGCGGTCTGCGCGGCGATTCACCAACAGTTACAGCTGAACCTGTTGCAACCTCCTGTTGCTGTTGTTGGTCCAGACCCTCAATAGGAGCCACTGCAGCTGCAGCCGCATCGGATGGTGTGGCATCGCCAGCTTCACGCTTATTGTTGATGTTATTATTGCCCTTTGCTTTGCTGCTGTTGGTATTCCTTTTCTTACTTTTGCCAACCCCTGTAAAGAATACGATAGAAAATCAAATTAGCCAATTAGCAAATTGACATTTGAAACAGTCAGAAAACAGCTTTAGATGTTCTACAAAAAAATGACCGACCCCGAATATTTTATGATAGGTATTCATCATCATAATTGGTTTATATACCAGAAGTCTCGCATAATTGTAGAAAATAATAATAATTCTATTTTTTTGTCTTCAATACAGACGATAATCTAAAACTATCTCAAATTTAAGCTAGCCAAGCAAAGGTAGAACTAGAGACTCAACTGCACCTCGAAAGAAAAATGTAATAAAACAAGAAACCAGAGAATTTGAAACCTGTTGCTTTCCAAATAGAAGAATTGAAGCCTTGAAAATTATAATTCTAAACAGATTAGATTAGTTTGTTAATACAATGTATTATTGGTCATTATCGACAGTATAGAAAAAAGATGACCCAAATTTTATTTGGGTGCTCAATTTAGTTTGGATCTAAATAACCATTGAAATGTTGGTAGGCAATGTACGTTTTTTACTTACAGCCACGTTCTCTAATATCCTACACAATGCATTTTGGTTTTTGTATGAGTGGAATGGAATGATGAACCTTTATAATTTTAGTAGCGCTTATGCTGGTAGGGTCGGTAGCGTCGATTGGGTCGCGTCGAGCTGGTACTTGAGCTGCTATGGCCGCTGCTGACCACGCTCGTTACCAGCTGGCCCTGGCCCTGTTGTTGCTCGCCCGAGCCCTGGCATCGCCGCATTATGGGATTATCCAAGTCATATTGTCTATGCCAAATTTTCCGGCTGCTATTACCTGGTGCTGCTGCTGGAAGTCCCGGCACCGTCGGCTGCGGCAAATATTTTTCCGGATTCTTTCCCTCTTTAAGCAAACGCAAATGGGGCGGTGTGTAGGCCTTCTTGCTGGCCTCTGGCTGACTGGACTTGATGCCCTCATGTTTGGCCTTGGTTATTTTTGGCTCGGCAAATGTGTTATCTGCATACTGCTGCCACTCAATGCCAAGCAATTCCTGCCCTTGTGGCCACAATGTTTCATGCAGCAATGCGCCCGAATAATGATACACCTTGAATCTGTCACAAATACAAAAATAGTAATTTATATGAGTTATATTACAAAACTAAGGCTGTTTATTGAGTCACTCACCCGTTGCTAATGCGGAGACGGGGTGCGGTTGTCGCTGTGACAAACCACTCGCCGTTTGGATGCCACTCAAAGTGTGTGGTATCCGCACACTTTATATTGGCGATCCTCTCCTTTTTGCTAACATCCCATACTTCAACGGCACCGGGCAAATTTCCAAAGCCAGCGAGTACAATAAGATTGCCAAATGGATTGAAGTAGGCGCAATTGCGAGGTCCCTCGCCAAAATCAAAGATAACGTCACACTTAAGATTATAGAGTGCTGCCTTGGATGGCATAAAGCCATAGACGACAACAAATTCATTGGCCTTGGGGCTCCATTTGACGCAATGCACGGGCCCCTCCTTAGACAATGGCACAGAACAAGTATCTCCCTTGGTGGCCATGAAATGCACCGCTTGATTTCCATAGTAGGAAGCACCACTCTTATCCACTTCAGTGCTTGTTAGAAGCAGCAGGCCACTCCCGCGCTTATTCCACAACATCTCAACGCGATCCGCTTGAAAGAAGCTCTTACAAGCCACAGTTTGGTTTTGACCCAAAGCTGGATACTTGTAAAGCTTACACATGGATGGTGCTCCCTTAGCACCCGGTGTATAAAATGCCAAGAATGGCGGACTATTACCCGGACCGAGGGATAACATACCGCCACGACTGCCACCAATTTTACGCGATGCACTGGCAAATCCTTCAGTTGGACCATTTGCCAGATCATAAAAAAGTGCCTCACCACCCACGACTAATGCAAAGATCGATTCATCAGATGACCACGACGGCTGCCAATCCGTTTGATTTTTTTGAACAATGGCAAAGACCTCATTGCCAGAGGCAATTTCATAAACAAGCAAATTCGCAGCACCTTCGGGACGATCCTTCGTAATGGCATAATGCTCCCAGGTGCACAGATAATTGCCGCGCGGTGAGAACTTGAGATAGAAGGCCTTTGGACGCGGCAGCGTGCATTGTACCGGCCAGCAATCAACGCCGCCAGTGTTGGAAATTGGCACGTGTAACACCTTCACCTCGGCACCATTCGAGTATGCAAAGTAACGACCATCCGGACTAAAGCAGATCGAACGCGAACTTTTCGTCTCCTCTCGCGGCAAATTGGGCTTGTGTTCGTATGGCTGCTTTGCACCAGCTGACGACCACAGCTCAACAGCCACGCTAGAGCGAACTGTAAAGAGACGGCGAAAAAAAACTCAGTAACCAACACATACGTATACACGCGGTTAGGGTCGTCAGACAAAATGTGTTCTATATATGCCCTGACGGCGACCCCAACTAACGCCAACTATTGAATTGGATGGCGGAATTATATAGCTAGCACATATTATAGAATTTAATGGATATTATTTGTTGTATATTTACTTGCAAGGGTAGGAACCACACCGTCCACAGCCGCAGCCATTGTCTTCAATCTCTCACACACACACACACGGTCACTGGCTGCAGTGTTGGTCAACAGTTGTTTGTGTACGCACGGTTGTATTGTGTTGTAATCGATAACGCTAAAGCAACATGCATCGGGCGCGCGTAAAACGAACATCAACCAAACGTATTCAAAAACTGCAACAAAATTTTATGCTCTACGTGAATTTCAAAACATTTTTAGACTAAAGAATTTAGTTATTATCAATCTTCAAGGCAAACTTTGTGCTTAGTACAAAATGTTGTTGTCTACTGAAGCTATACGACTTTCTCTATATCTCAAATTCTATACGCAACTTTGAGAGTTTCCATTTCTTTTTGGCAAACTATTACGACAGTTAATGTTAAACTTGTTAAAGCACAAATACAAAATAAAATAAAAATAACGCACAATTGGCATTGGAACTCGTTCATTTACTTTCGCTGAAAACTGTGACCAAACAACGAACCATCGGCACAGTGGTGCAATCTCTGGAAAATACGTTTAAATTTATTTTATTTCAGCAGGTATTTTAATAGTCATTTCTTAAGGGTGACATAAATGATAAGTGATAAGACTGCAAGAATTATAAATATAGAATATATAGCAATTACTATTTCTTTGCCCGCTTAAGAACTGCAGCCATTTTGCACCACTGTGTGATCATGACAGATGTCGTTAAGCGTCGATGTCACCTGTGTGTGGACAGATAGACAAACAGACAGACCGACAGGCAGACCAGTAACATGTAACGACCACTCATGTTTCAGTTTGACAATGTTTTCATTGTTTCAATTGTTACTATTAATTTTATTTTATTTATAATACGCGTACGCCTGGTCAAACGGGCGAACGACGCTTTTTCTGCACGCCGACTGCGACGACAATTGACTTTAAATTTCTTGCATTTACCAAAGTGAAATGCTAACACAACCACAACTTTGAAAGTTTTGTAACTGATGTGTGTGTGCGTGTCTCTACACATATATATATATACATACATTTTTTACTCCATCTTTTGATAATAACCATCACAAATTGAAACTAATATAGCTTTGGCAATGGCAGCGACAACGACAACTTTCCCAAAATGAAAAGCGCCTTTAGTATAGGCGAACATCTCGCACTCTCAGCGACTACACATGCTTACAGAATATGCGATTATGTAATAATATTAATTGTAATTCAATTAAATGCAGTCGATGGCTTAGCCATTTCGCAATGCTTTCGATTTTCATTGATGCAGGTGAAAACTCTGCCCATATCAATTTCGAGGCTCTAAGACAATGAACAGGCCCAATCATATTACCATTTTTTTTTGCTTTGTTTCAATTAAAAACAATTTAATTAGTGTAATTCCTTACTTGTTAACTTTCAAATTTCGCTTATCGTTCATTATTTCTATCCATGTAGCAGCACGCGCAGAGGGCAATACAAGGAACACAACATATGAAAAGTAAGCAGCAGCTGAACAAAAATATTGCAATAATTATGCCAGCCAATAATAAAAGTTTTTGTCTCGGTGATTTTTTTTGTTTTAAATTCATTTTTATTTTTTTTTTTTTTTTTTTTTTCGTTTTTTGCTCAAGCTCGCTGAGAATTTTGATATAT